CGGGACCCGAGAGCACCAGGCAGAGCAAGACCAAGCCTCTCCATCGCACAAACTCATTTTGGGGGGCACAGCCACCCCCCCTCAGTGTTTGGCTAACCCAGCTCAGGAGCCCTCCAAGTTTGAGGGGCTTTGCTTTGCACCAGACGTGGGATGGCCGCTGGCTGCGCCAGAGAGCTTCGGCCGGCCCAGGAGGAGCAGGCAACGCTCAAAATACCTGTGGGCTCTGCAATGGGCATGGCGCCAGGCGAGCTGAGTAAGCACAAACCTCAGGACACAGCTGTTCACCGGCCGAAAACAAATCGAGAAACAACCCAGCAGCCTGTGACACCCCCCCGCCCCGACACAGAGACTGCAGCGTTTGCACCACCACCGTGATGGGCCGGTGCGGGCACCAGTCCCATCTGATAAAAACAGAGCTGTGCTGCAAACAGCTCTGTCGAAGAAAGGCGTCTCATCCCGGCCTTCCCAGGCTGCCTGCTGTGGGATGCTGCGGGGCCTGCCTCCAGCCGGGGGGCTGCCGGACTGCCCCCCCTTGGGCCTGCTCCAGGCTTTTCCTGTATAAATAAAAGAAGAAAAAAAATAAGGAAGGGGGAAAACCTCCCCAGGGGAGGGTGAGCAAGGGCCGTGTCCTGGTTTCGGCTGGGATAGAGTTAATTTTCTTCATAGTAACTAGCATAGTGCTGTGTTTTGGATTTAGTACTAGAAGAATGTTGATAACACACTGATGTTTTTAGTTGTTGCCAGGTAGTGCTCAGACTACTCAAGGACTGCTTGAGCTTCTCCTGCTCGGCCAGGTGCATAACAAGCTGGGAGTGCAGCACAGCCAGGACAGCTAACCCAAACTGACCAAAGAGCTATTCCGTACCATAGAACGTCATGCTGGAGGGGGTTAGTCGGTCGGTCGTGGGCAGAGTGATCGTGGCTCGGGCAGAGTGATCGCAGCTCGGGAAGGGCTGGGCATCGGTCAGTGGGTGGTGAGCAATTGCATTGTGCATCACAGGTTTTATATATTCTGTATATTTTCTTACCATTATTGTTATTCTTCCAGGGCAGGAGGCAGCAGGCTTGCAGGACGGGCAAGGGGAGTTTATTCACCAGAACGGGACTGTGCCCCAGCACCCTGCCAAGCTCCACCAGAAGCAGGTCACCGCGGGACGAGCCCGGCTGGGGTGTGCGGAGAAGAGGATATTTGGCTGTGGCAGCCCGGGCTGCGTGGGGCAGGAAGCGAGCACAGCCCAGGCTCTCGCCGCTGACGCACATCCCCGAGCGGCGTGGGGCACCCGGGGAGCCAAAGCTCCCACCGCCCGGTGGCACAGCCTCAGGCTTTCAGTGGAGCCTGCAGATTCTGCTTCCGAACCGGAGACTTGCTCAGGTTTCCTGCCCCAGTCAGTTTTTGATGACCACATGTAGCGCAGAAGCTTAACCACACCTCAGCTTTCCTTAGCCTGGAGTTAGGCGGGTACGAGCTCCGAGAGCAGGCTGCCAGCAAGCAGCAAGGCACACGATTCCCTCCTCCTCCACCTTCAGCCAACACCCATCCACAGGGCTGTACAAATACACTGCAGGAAAATCACACGGGTGTTCCCGGAGGCGGCGTTTGCATTGTTGGGGCTGGAGAGTCCCTGGGGCACGCGAAGGCGATGCAGCAGTACCCACCAGTCCCAGGAACCCCCGTTGAGCCTGGGGGACCCTCTCACTGAGCCACCCCGTGGTGCTCTGCAGCGCCTGTCCCCAGGCCACACGCCCCAATCCTGCCCAGGACGCCTGCTGGGTCCTTGCCCCCGTGGCCAATTTCAGCAGCCGAAAACAGGCCGTGTAAACAGCACAGCACTGCCCTGACCCGGGCTCTGGCAAAAATAGATGTCAAGTATCATTGGCATTGACACTTAAAGCACGTTGTAAAGAAAAACACCGAGCAGTGGATTTGACGCTAATTTGCTCACACTCGTGCTGCACTGTTTGCAACTTGGTTTTGAAACGACGTATTCATGACTCCTGTAAAACACTTGCCCCTTACAGCTGGAGATGGGTGGATTCTGGTGCTCTGGGGTTACAGGCACACACCTACCCATGGTCCTCACGTCTCCAGTGTTACACCCGCAGCGTGCATGCGGAGAAGAGCTCCATTTGGGCCGTGTTGGCTTTCTACAAAGGGATATGTGTGAGGATCAAGCATCCTTCTAAAGCTCCAAAGCTGGAGCTTTGGGAGCCCTCTGCCTGCCCCTTTTGTCCCCTGCAGAGGTACCAGCCAGGATGTCTCCGAGGTGCCCACCTGCCCCGTGTCCTGCCCTGCACCACTCCTCCTCCCCACACCAGCTGCCCCTGGCCCAGGTCTAAAAGCCCGAAGCACCAAGAGCCGCACTGATAGCCCTGCTCCTCCTCAGGCACAGGTGAGCTTGAGAGACACAGTTTGTACCCTGTTTGTTTCTTTATGGTCTTCAAAAGCCTGAAAAGCCTCCGGGAGTCATAAAACAGGCACAACACCGCTTCTTCCTGACTTTAAGATTAGAAACATCAGCTCAGCTTACTGGTACTCACCTCTATGCCCAGAGAAGAAGCGGGGGGTTCCCCTGCCCTTAGTGGGATGGCAGGAGAGCAAGCACAGAGATTTTTGTCTTATGCCAACAGAAATGTTGGCAGAGGGTCTCCCACTGGCACAGGGCCATCTCCAGGATTTACAGCAGTAAAACCCCACTCCATCAGGACTGATGTCCTGTTTTAGCTTCCTCTGTGGTGTGAAGAACAAACCCAGGTGCCAATACGTACAGAATTCCTACGGGTGGCACTGGGGATCTTTAATTCTCTTCTCAGAAGATAGACATGGAAAGATACACGTGGCCGGTGAACACAGCTGGAAGTGGCCAGAGCCCAGGCGGCCGCGGTGCCGAGCGAGCCAGCCCACCCCTGGGGCACGCACAGCCTCTCCGATACCACTCACGCTCCAGGCATCCCGGAACGAGGTCTCCTGAAACCAAATCAAAATCCTTTACTCTTAAGAGCACCCTAAGATACAAACTAAAGAGCAGTCTTCATCTTTCTGTTCTGGTGGAAGAGAAGGGCTGTGATGGGCAACAGAGTGAGATCCTCCTAAACGTTGTAAGGTAAAAGAGCTCTCCTCAAATGTGTGGGTAGAACACCAAAATAAGCACCGCTTCCAGCACAGTGCTACATACAGCCAGTTAAATAACCAAAACAAAGCCACAAACTAAAGACAAATCTGGCTCTTCACTCACAAAATGATACACGTACACACGGGCAAGTTATCAGAAAAGGCATTATATTTTGGTTTCCACCTTATTTAAAACTGATTTTGGTTTTCAATCAATCAAATCTGAATATGTCTGAGTTCAGTTTTCAATTTTTTTTTTTTTTTTCCCCCATAACAGTAATGATCTGGATGACCATAATTATAAAAGGGATGGGGAGAAACCCCGAGAACAAGAGAACATTATCTGAACTGTGCTCTCTACCACACGAGCACTCCAGGGAATGTTAGTTTCAGCTCTTCAGTTTGGTTTTTTTGTTTGTTTTTTTTTTTTCCTTCAGGTTGTTCCTAACAAAATCTCTACCGTTTATTAAAGCAAAGCTACAGTAAATTTTCTTGCAGTCTTACAGCAGGTTTTCATATTACCAGTAGGACTCGCATGCATGGATTGCAGTCACACACACACGCTCACAGACATTATACAGTAGCCAGTTGCCACCATTTAAAAAAAAAAAAAAAAAAAAAAAAAAAAAAAGAAAGAGAAAACAGACATTCATTTCTTTTAAGTGGTCAACATTAGAATCGCACCAAGCTTTTGGATCAAAAAAAAAAAAATACTGCACAGGTCTTCCACATCTACATGGTAAGTCATCCCTTCGCAACGGACGGAGCTCTCGTCTCCATTTGTTCAACATGCATCGCTGAAGCTTGAAGGCACGCTGGCCAAAGAGAGCCCTGTTCTTTTTTTGTCATCTTAACTCGAGTGTGCTGCTCTTGGGGTGCAAAAAAAGGAAAGAAAATAAAGCCAATCCCTTTTGCAGCACACCGGGAAAAGGTCATCTGGAGACCACAGTACTTGGAAGGCAGCCCAGCTGCCTGGATTCTACTTCTAACTGTGCTCTTGGAGGCATTGAAGGAATACACTTGTCTTTAAAAATGACATATAAAGGCAAATTTCTGCAAACCCTTTCTTTTCAAACTGCTTACGGCAGACTAACACTCCTTCTGGAAGAAACTGGTCCTTCAGTCACCAGCTTCGAGTGGGAAATTTCCTACCTGCTGTCTCAAACACTGAAGCACCAGAGATTATAGGGCTGATGTGTTCAGGCATTCATCAGTTTCAAGAAAACCAACACCAAAAAAAAAGAAAAGAAGAAAGAAAAGAAATCCCCAATGCCCCAAGAGCACTATATCAAACCAGAACTCTTGGGCTACTGACTGCCGGCACTGTCAGAAGCTGCTTGCTTCTGGGAAGACACCTGGAGGTTGAAGCCTTATGGTGATTTCGTATCCTCCCAGGGTGAGATTTGCTGAGCTTTACTGATTGCAAGATAAAGCAGTTTTGGAAAACTAAAACCAACAAACTCATAATAACCATCACCAAAATCACCACTGGAAAAGTTCCATTTGTTAGAAGGTCTCATTGAGAAACATCAGTCCCTGCCCCACGGAGCAGAACGGACACGATTAACAAAGCCCAGAGCGACCCGTCCCCCACAAGCCGGGCCTTTGGGGACTAGTCCCCAAATTATATTGGAGGGGGAGAAAGAAAAATAAACTAAAAAAAAAAGAAGGTTGTTATCACCTTTTCCTCCTATTAGAAGTTTTAATCCTCTTATTCCACTTTTATTTCTTTGTTTTTTTTCCCCCGATTCTCCCTTCCACTCTGCCACCTTAGCTGGGGGAGTTATTGGTGCGAGAGTTTGGAGAGTCCTGCTCATTTATTGTGTTCAAGAGTACACACACCGGCTGCCGGGGCAGGTGGTGGTGGCTGTGTTCGCGGTGCTGCTCTTCCACAGCATGAAAAAGCCCTTCCTCCTCGTCCCCGTGGGGGCGGCCACTGCAGCTGTCGCAGAAGTCCAGGGGCCCGTCCAGAGCATCATCGATGAGCCCGTCGAACTCCTTGAGGTCGTCATCGTCGTGATGGCCCCGGTTGCATACGCAGACTTCAATGCCCGAGTCGCCAGTGAAACGGCGCTGCCTGCCCGGCGTCTTGTCCTTCGCGTCGGGAATGGCGCTGCTCTGCTCTAAGCTCTCAGAGCTGTAACCTTTCAGCAGTTCCTCCTTGCACTCCGTATCCTTATTGGGACTGGCCCTCTCCACTAGCTCGGCTCCCGTGCTGGTGCCGCCGGGCTCAACGCTTTGCATTTTGGCAACTGCTCGCTCGACCAGCGTGGTGGTGGAGGGCTCGGGGTCCCCAAGGCCGGGGGACCCGGTGTTGTCAGTACTGCTGCTGCTGCCGCTGGGTGCTGCTGAGCTGCTCTGTGCTGGCTGCAGGTTTCTTGGCGTGTCCGGGACTGTGCTACTGCTGCCTGCTGGGACGCACTGCTGATGTAAGGCACTATATGGTGGGGGGGGGGTCGGCGGTCGGTTCACCACTTCCTCATAGGGAGGTAGTAAATAATTTGGCAAAAACCCTAAAAGTGGGAGGCAAGGAGGAGAAGTTATTTCATGAACAGCTTATCTCAGGAAACGAGTCATTATACAGGTCAGTATGTCATTTGTCACCTACCAGCTGTCCCACTGAACAGCTCAACGGGCTTTACAAGGGGGGCCAAAACGAGACATGTCACATGTTAGAGAAGCAGCAATTGGGGCAGAGGAGGGCACCGTTACAGGAGGAGATGGACACAGTTGGGAACAGCAGCCCGATCTCCCTGCTCTCAAGCCTACGCCTAGGGCTACCAGGCAAACCTCCCCCCATCGCCCTGTACCCAGTGCAGCCCCATAAACCACACCAAGGGCTGGCCTGTGCTGGCTGGAGGGAACAACCTGGGAGGTAATTCGCCAGCCCTCTCCAACACTGGCTTCTCAGCTGAGTTTCTACTTTGAAGAACAAAGATTTCATCTCACAAAGCTTTGTGCAAATATGAAGACACATGAGCAGTTACAAGGAACTTAGGATCCTGGCTTTGGTTGTTTCAGTGCTGGATTCAGTTTTCCTGGTGCAATCAGAATAAATTGGCAAAACAATTTGGTTTATTGTACTTGCAGTCTCTCAAATCTTTGAAAGATTTTGTTTATTTCTTAAGAGGCAACAAAATAGTCTATATAGAGAGAACGGACTTAAATACTGGAAACATTTAAAGATAGCACTGCAGTTTTCCACGTGCAATTGTGTATCCCTGGGGCTGGGGAGGAAAGCGCTGCTGGGGATTATCTCTGAGGTAGCTGCAAGAGTTTAACGAGAAAAGCAAGTTCATACATGCAATTCAACAGTCCATTACAGGAAATTCAGCTGTGGTACCTCCAGTCAAAAGGCTGAGACTCGCTGTTCTAGCACAGTGTAGCAGGGCACGAAGGAGTGAACAATGCAATTGTACTTTCCCTGAGCCATAGGCAACAGCTCCTTCGTGCAGACTCCTAGGGCTGCTCACCAGCAGCATCGCCTGGGAACCGCAGCACAGGGAGGGAGCCAGCATGGTCCCTGATGAGGCAACCACTTCCACCCAGCCTGTACAACCAAATTTCATGAAGCCACTTTCCACATCTCAGTCCCACCAGCAGTAAGTGCAGGCTGGAAAGGAGGAGCATCCATAAAGTCCTGAACGAGATATTTTAGAACCTTCCCAGACAAACACCCAGGGAATTACTGCACTCACAGAACCGAACCAAAGGTGGGTGTGAAGGTGCTGTAGCTGGTGTCATTCAAATCCAGACTCAAGGGGGGGGTCATCAAATGCATCCAGCAGCTGGAATACGTCACCTCTAGACGCCAAACTTAAGCAGCAAAGCTGCCCCCCACTTCTCGCTGAGCCCAACCACTGCTCCCCACCTTCCACCTAACACAGGAAACTCGCTGCTGCCCTGCTCCCCACAACCTCCAGCAAAACCAATGTGAGGTACATACGGAAATAAAATGGCAAGGCTGAATAGTTATGGGCTTCCCGGTAAGCGATCAGGTTAATCTCGTGTTGCCGCTGCTGGGCCTGGAGACGATGCTTGGTGCGTCGGTGATGGCAAACACAACAGCAGCTGAGGATGATGATGATGGTCCACACCAGCCAAAACCCTGCAACAGGGGAAAGCGAGTGTTAACCACAGCACGAGAGCCACATCCAATCCCAGGAAACCCCCCAAAGGCGATGGAGATCACCAGAAAGCCTGGATCTGAACCCCACACTGCTCTAAAGGCAGAAACACACAGTGCAGCAGGAGGCTTCAACACGGACCCGCCTGCGTGTGTGGGTGACTGCTACCCTGGCGGCCTTGACAGAATCAGGTAACTCTATACACACTTTGGTACAATGTGGAGTATGTTCATTAGGCACAGCTCTGGAGGAGGACAAAATATGGAGACGGCGCTAAGCTCCCCCGCATCCCTTCCACCCCTTGGATGCAATTTCTTCTAGCTAAACATATGAGCCGAGCTGTGAATAGCATTGAGCTTGTCTCCCACAGCCACTTCGGTTTGAAAATAACAATCAAGACACAAAAGACACTCTGCAGATTGACCACAGAAGAAGAGAAAAACCCCAAGCACTGTGTTTTGCTTTTGTTTGCACTGCTCTTTAATTTCCAGCCCAAATCCTTCATTGTTGTGCTTAACAAAAACATACCCTTTTTACATAAATGTCTCAAAATATTTTTAAAACTTATTTTTGTATTCAATGTCTTAAATTATCCAAAATTAAATTAAACTAGCCCCCCACTCTGAATCCTCAAGAAACCTAACTTCTGCTCCATTTGCGGTCACGGCTGGTTTCTGTGGACTGTCACACCGTACGTATGCTGCTCCTTAAAAGGGAATTTTAAAAGGGCACTTCCTGAATTTTCTCCACTCCCTCCAGCATGTGGAATAACCCCTCCTTTTTCGTAAATCCCCCATCACGCTTGCACACACCAGAAACATGTTTCCGAGAGACACTTCAGAGAGCCACAACGCTCACTCCAGATGAGGCTTTTGTCTCCTGCAACTACAGCCCACAGCTCCACCTGCCTCAGAGGAGCCCCTGACCTCTACCTTTTTTAAGCTCAGCTTTTGCAGCTAAGGATACCAGGAGGGCTCCCCCTTTAGAAACATATAGGCCTGGCAACCACTCCTCAGCAGAGATCACAACACTTCTTCTTTCGGCAAGACCTCTGCCACCCTTCATCATTCCCACACAGACAAAATGAAGACTCCTAGCGCTGCAGCCCGTTTTCAGCATGGCCATTCTGCCCTGTGAGATCAAACTGCTTGTGTCTCCCCAGTAAAAAACTCTCGTCCTGCCTCTACGATACACCTTGATGTTTTCAGCTTCCCCTGACGAGTTAGTGACGTTTTCTCTGCTAAGAGCTGGGTGGGGAAAGGTGAACAGTTTAGGAATCTGAAGAATGAGAGGAACATGGCTCTGGCTGAGGACAAAGTACAATCGACCCACATCGCAGATCTCAGAGCCCCGCACTGGGCTGTTTGTAGGTGAACTGGATATGCTGTATCGTGCCTCCGAGCGTTTTGAGCAAGGACTTTCACCTCCCTGTGTCGTAACCCAAATTCTCCATGTATCTTGGCACAGCAAACCGAAATCTCTCTCTTGCCTTGCACAACCAATTTCCCTAATGGACTAGATTCTGCCTGATACCCAAACTTATCAAAACTTGCTATCAAATGAAAGGCGTTACATGCTCCATTTTTTTTTTTGCTGGGCTGGAAATCAAGGTTCCTAGGCAGTTTTTCTGGCCAGGCTGCTCAGCTGTACCATGAAGGGGAGAGAGAAGACTGTGACCTTTGCTGCAGAGAAGCAGGGAATGAAGCACTCGAGATGCCCTCTGCACTTCCTTCAAACCAAGCTGAGAAAGTGTCCGCTGCCCTCCAAACACCCTCCTGCTTCTAAAAAAGCCTTTTTATAGAAACTATAAGGATTGGTCTAGTCCACCCTTCCCTCCAAAGCCAGGCATTTTGCAACTGCTGTCTTGCGGTTTGAAGACTCGCACCAACACACTTTATTTCTCGCTAAGAGAGGGTCCCTTGGCTCGTGCTTGCTGAGGAAGCAAGAACACACTCATCAAAACCGCGTCACTGGCACAGCACGCCACCGTGCACTGAAGCAGGCCTGCAGTTCATCTTCCAAGTACTCCTTATTTTCGAAGAGCAGTCCGCGATCGTGCGTTCAAAAACAATGGAAAATTACACCCAGCTATCCAGGGATTTTAGCTTCAGTTAAGAAAACAGATGCTTTTTAACACATTTGATCATGTCCTTTCCCAAGGACTCTAGATGCAATGGTAGCAAGCAGCACTTAGTTAGTTAAGAGGTCCTGGAGAACTGCCACTGTTAAGCAATCTCAGCTGTAGCAGCCGAATTTTTCTGCAGGGAATAACTGCTCCCACCCAAGCCTGCATCCAGAAGATTAAAAAAGTATTTCTTTAGAAAACTTCTCTACCCATTCCAAAGAAATCCCAAAGTGCTTTGCAGACAAACCGACGCACAAGCTCAGAGTAGGGGTCAAAGTAAGCTCAGCCATTCCTGGGAAGATGTGCAGCAACTCTGTAAACAGGCAGTAACGACATACAGCAGTTTAGGATAATAAATTAATGCTGGATCCTACTGAAACCGCAGGTGGCATTTTAAGTAAACAGACCATAATTTACTGGATTGCAATCTGGCCACGGTGCCAGGAACAACACCTCGATTCTCGTGCAAAGGGTCTATGCATGCTCACAGCCACAAGTGGATGAGATCTGCTGTTTTTCATGGGAATTTCCAGAAAAAGAACCCACTAATACCATGTTATTGCCCGGTTTCATTAATCGCTGACACTTCCTAGAGCTTCTCGAAATTACTCAATCCCTGACTCAGCACGAGCCCGAGGACTTGCCTGGATGATCACAGGAGGTCAGCAGCGCGTGCCCACCACAGCCATTTGCTGGCCTGGCTTCTGGTGTCCTCTTTAAATGGCTTTGCCCCCACCTTGTCACACGATAGCACATCTGCACCGCTGGGCTGAAAGCCCCCCCCAGTGCATAAGAAGCATCAGGATGGGACATCCATAGGTGCTGAGGCACACAAGGGGCTCCTCAGTTGTCGCTTGAGCAAGGGTGCCAGCGTTGAGAGAAGGATCAGGTGCAGCTCTGGTTGCAAGACCAGCATGGTGCTGGGCGTCCAGGGCCTCCATAAAAGGCTCTACAACACGCCCTAGCCAGAAGTTTGGTCACAGCTGCAACTTTGGCTGCAGAACAGAAAACCTGTAAAAGCCTAGCAAATATACAGTACGGTCATTTACTTGGAATAAAGCTATGTGTACAAGGCCAAGTGCAATTGTAAATATTATGTCTAAAAGTATGGAGCGAACAGTGAAGATGTCCAGGGCTGAGCTGTGCATTTGTACACCTGGTGATGCTTGGCTTCAAACCAAGGGAGGTAAGCCGAGCAGACCACTGGCCCATTTGGCAGGAGGGGAAGGAGGAGAATTTCAAATTCACCCAAAGATGACACTACACGAGCAGGGAATGTGGAGGCTGAGCACAGCAGCAGTAGACACTAACATCTCGTTCATGGCAAAGGCAGGTACCTGCTCTGCCTTGTGCTGACAATGGGCGAGACGTGCAAAGGCAACAGAAGTTTGGCACTAGGAGGCCTCCAAAAACCAAGTAAAACTGGGCTTCTAGTCGCCTTTCCCCACACTCTTCAACATGCATCTCCTTCCCAAACGGACGAGAGCTGGTTTTCAGCTGCGCTGTGCTGAGCTATCGCTGCAGTCACTGGAAAAGGAGAAAAAGTTGGGAGACACTGGACACCCTGAGGCCAAGTTTGCCATTAGATGTCTGATGAGAGAGAATATTTCCCACCACCAAGTTGGCAGTGACCACCGGGAACAAAAGCACACAGCAACCTGAGGGCAACATGACTGGCACAGAGCAAACAGGGTTTTTGGAAAAACAACCGCTGAGGGACAGCATCAACTGAAGCGATGCACTGGTTCAGAGCTAAACACACACTGGGGGACTGTTGGACTTGAAGGCAATTTCAGGCTTGCTCTTGGTTTATGGAAAAGTCAAAAGTTGAAACACTCTCCAGTCCAAAAAAGGCTGAGTCCCGAGAAACACTGCTATATTTTCTGTAACAGTCGCTGGTGATGCCAATGGGTAGATAATGATGCAACCAAAGGGTGAATCAGACACAGCCAAGGAGCTGAGTTTTGCCAAGAGATTTCCCTGCCAGAGCATCAAAACCTCTCATAAAAATAAAAAAGTACCAACCTCTTACCCAGCATCAGACAGGCTCAGAGATGTAAGGGAGTTGCAGAAAGACCTGGTAACAGAATTAGCTCCCATGGAAGCATCCCTTGCAAGCAGAGGAAATACCAAAGAAGGCTGCTACGTTTACAGCATCCTTGGGAAAGGGAGCACCATCACATGGTCACACACCAGAGAGATTTTCTACCAGCTGTGAAAGAACATGCCAGGCTTAAAGCTTCAAGAAAAACCTTTCTGGGACACCAACCATAGTTTACCTCAAACTTAACAATAATTAAGAATAAAATAATTTAAGAATTTAGAATCCAGAGCATTCCCTCCTCATGAAAAAGGGGGGAGCAATGTTCAGTCTGATGCTGTACAGTATTTGCTACCTGGGATGTTGCCATCAGCATTCCCGTTGCGGGAAGCTCCTTTTATCCTGTGCAAAATGGAAAACGTTTTCTGGAGCATTCCAAGGGTAGGAACAGAAAAATCTGCCCTCAAGTTCATGGTAAACTTGGGCAAACGCCATCGCTCTGTTGGCAGGAAGTCCCCTAAAAGCAAGCCAAAACATACTGCAAAGTGTTTTTGTGTCTGCCTGACAAGCATCTGGGTAATAGCTTTGGCTCGATGAGAGCTGGTTCTGAACAGGAAGAGAAGTGGGACAATTTCATTGACTAAAAAGTGATGTCCCAAATGGTGGTGTCACAGTCGGCCATGGCTGGAAAAACGTTGTCTTTCACAGGGCCAATGCTATCATCAAAAACAGGAGAGAGATTTAATTGGTACCACAACCCGGATGCACTTGGGTTTAATAGTGTCCTCGGCACAGAGATCTCATCATCTCCTGCGACTTCAGACATGAGCCTGTACGAGTCAATGATGCTGCTGCTCAAGAATGCCAGATGAAGGATCCAGGCCATAGGCCTATGAACATTTTAAGAACGGGAAAAAAGAAGCTGCTGAATGACGTGGTCCTCTCCTGCCTGTCTCTTCCATACCTCCTGCTGCCTCCTCCACCTCTTCTTGTGCCAGCACAAAGCTGTGCGCAACTGTGATTCAAACTGGTTTGAGAGAACCAAAGCAGGTTGAAACTCAACTGCCAAACACAACAGCAGGAAGAGAAAGACTGGGACTTTCAGTGACAGTTTTATGTCAGTTTAGATCAGTGGAACTGCAGCCCCAGCCTGACCACACTGCAGGAAAAAGTTACTGAATATTTGTAGAGTACAATGGTAAAAGAAAAAAGCTGAAGACAACATCTCCAACTCCTGCTCGCTTGTTCCCAGACTGGTAACTCAGACCCACGGAGATGAAGCTGGTTTCTAGTCTTCAGAATAGTGTCCAGTATATATGGTACACCCACTGCCATGAGCTAAGATGGAAAAAGAGGTGTTTCAGAAAAATCCTTTGCTCATCTTGCAATGACAGTCAACTTGAGACAGTAAATCTGCAGATACTGGTTTTATGCCTCTGTCCTGGAGAGGGAGCCTTTGAAGAGCAATCGCTCCTGTGCTCCAGAGGACTTGTTTGCAAGTCCAGTCAATTCCAGCTGACATACCCCTCTCAAGACATCTATGTTGGTAAAATGCATGTTGAACAGTGGTCTAACAGAGATCGAAGGGGAACATCCAGCTGAGGCCATGTCCAGAACAACTGGGAACAAGATCTGGAGAACAGTCTGCACCAACAGATCTGGATATTTGGTGAGGAGCTGGGCTGGAAGTACAGATGACAAGGGGCGAAACAGCACCAGCAAGCTCTCTTGCCTAACACCGAGCAGGTGGGAAGCAGGCCACACAGCCAAAAGTCAGTATCTGCACAGTCAGACTATGCAAGACAGCTTACCTTCCCCTTTGGATTTGTGAATTTTACCGAGCCACACCAAAACAAGCTTAAGATGATTTTGCTGCCTGGATTAAGCTACAAAAGGTACAAGGAAATCAGGAAATACCCCCCTCAGTGACCCTATTAATCATGAGTTTCTGCATGGTTGTGACATCTGCTTTGTTTGCTCTATACTTTCAGCTAGGCTTTGTCATGGGAGGGTTATCGCTGAAGCACCAGCTGAGGAGCAACAGCAGCAAAAGGTGAAGTTTGATACACCTGAGAAAGCAAGTACAATCCTGTAGGAGGCTGGGTGAAAGGCAAGGAACAGGGCAAATCCCTCTCTGAAAAAGGACACAGTTATGCTGAAGGGAAGGATAACACAGGGTGAGGAAGAGAACACGGGACTGATGTGTTGTTTGACTGAGGGTTTTGGAGACTGCAATGCCTTGGAAATGAGTTCCTATTATAAAGCTGACCTGGAACATGTACGTGGTATAGCAGTTGCTTTAGTTTTAGCAATTAACCGGATCCTTGCCAAAATTTTCTGGCAGCATGCTTCTTGGGGAAAAGAGCTGTCTCGAGATTCCAAGGGGAAGCGTGCAGAGATGAGCAAAATGTTCAAAATCAGCAAAAACATCAACTGTGCTGCTTGCAAACAGAACATTTTTTCCTGTACAACCCTTCCACTAGGGCCCAAACAGTCAAGACCTTTGTTTCTTTTTTTGTCTTTCAGAAACAGAGCTCAATATCACTGCTAAAGCAGCCAAAATGAAGCAAAATAGGCACATCCAACATCTGAATACTCACTCTTTGCCAGTGCTGGTTTGTTGTACAGTACCTAAATGACCCAAGACCAGCTAAGCGCTTTAACTTTGAAATCCTACAGCTGAGATCTTCTGCACACGGTGACCAGCTGCCTGTTTCCATGCTCCCCCATTCCTAAAGCACAGCGTACTATTCTTCCAACCACACCATGCAAAATACTTTCTATAGCTTTGCTTGCTGTGTTCAGAGCCTCTGGAATCGTTGAATTTCATGCTGGTCCTCAATAGGCAAGGAGAGACACAAGGATGGATGTCGGGAGATCTGGATTTGGTTTTCAGTTCACATACACTTAAACTTGGGAAAATCCAGCATGTCTGAGCCTTAATTCTTAGCCTGCAAAATGCAGGAACTGCATTCCTCGATTACCTTCTCTCCTGTATTTTGAGAAGTGGTATTTTGGAACATTTATGCAGTAAGACACCTGTCAGGCCTGGACAAAGGCCAACATTGGAAAACTCCAGCTAATCACAATCACATCATAACAGGCCGGAATAAAGACTGTTAGCAAGCAAAATCCAGCAGCTGCTGCTATTCTCCTAAGACCACAATCTCCCCCTTGGGGACTGTGAGCTCTTTGGGGAGCACAAAGACATTGTTAGGCTGAAACGCTGAACCAGCTTAACCACCATCCAAATAAACACCTTTCCCTATGCAAGGAAATGCAACAACAAAGCCCCTTCTTCCTTTTTACTTTTTATGATTCTATTCCAAGAAAATTAAAAGACACACTGCACTTTTCCCCCCCATATATTCCCAGCTACCAAGCTTGAGCTAAGAACTAATTAGACCTTTATATAGCTATTAGACCTATGTATATAAATCTAGATGTAGTTTTATTATTTGGCAACATGGCACTTTTTTTTTTTTAATAAGAGATGGGTGGGGAATCTGAACCAGGCTGTTATCTAATTTTAAACACAGACTGTCCACCTGCTTGGCATATCATGTTCTCCATTCCTCCACTCCACCCCTTAACAAAATAATACCTTGATTTTGTATCCTATTCCACTACCCTCACAGACTGGTTTATAATTACTGTAACTTTACTTGCTGTCTAGAAATGATGAGATCAGCCATTTTCAAAGACAAACTTCCCTCAAATTCTTAAACAGGGAAAAAGATCCTTTTTATGGCGAAAACTCCAAATGGCCACAAGACAGGATCACATTTCAGAAGGCATGCCCAGCAAAGACAGACTAGTTTTGTTTTCCATTTCCAATGCCACCCTCCTCTGCTTCTTCTCCCCACGAAGCTGTGGTAGTAAATTAACCCCAGGATTTAATTCAACAGGACTAGCAAAAAGGTCTGTTTTCAGGCACACAATAGCACTGATGGTCCGAGAAGGTCAAGAGGAGCAGAAACTTCTCAAAAGCTACTTCAGTACATGCATACACTCGTTAAAATAAAGACATAGAACAACCACAAAGCCATACCTAAAAGGTGCTGCTAACTTAACTGTTCATTAACCAAAAGTTATTATTAACTTTTAAAAAGGTACTCTATTCCCAAGCATGTAAAGCTGTTGCTCTCCTCACCATCAATTTACTTCTCTAGACTATTTAAATATGCTATCACCGCTATTTACCTTGAAGGTCTTAAGAGTGCCTCACCACACGTACCTACCAAAGACATTTAACAATTCCTTCCTGCAGGTAAGTTCTGAAGCTGTGGTTGCAAGTTCTAGAATATGAGAGTTCTTAAATTTAAAGGACATGTCTCCCCTCCCAATCCCAGAAACCTTTTTCTAACACTCATAATGGCAAAGCAAGCTTTGAAAACATTAACCAAATTTAAATCAGTGTTGGCTGTTTGCCCTAATTTGCAGAAAGCCTAGAAGAATAGGCCTCATGTTTGCATTATTCCCCTCATCTCAGTGTGGCATATGATGCTCTCTGCAATACAGAAGGAATGTGAATCTCAACACAGAAACCCACCATTCCTGCCGAGGAGCCATCCAGCAGCGCGTGCCGCTAATATGTTTATTCCATGATCTCAGCGTGATCTGTGTGCTTGCCCTAGAAAGAAGCTTGAAATATTCTGCTTCCTTCTAACAAAATCTGGTTTTATCTTCCAAGAACTTTTATGATGCAGCCAGGCACTGCCAAATATAAAAGTCTGTGCCATACTGAGAGTGCAAAGACAGTTGAAGTAAAATCATCCCATTAAAATGGCAGGGGGCTATTGTTCAGCCTGTATTGTTTGCGTGCAGTTCAGTTAAGCCTCTCTTTCAAGATGTCCATGGGAGAAACATGGCGACTGCGCAACAAGCTCCAGTGTGCAGCTGTACTCCATGCTGTTGCTCAATTTAGATCCTGCTTGCCACGGAGTCTGTAAGCCCTTGCATACGTGCCTCTTCCTCTACATTCCCACCCACACAAATCCAAAACTGGGTCTGACCTTCCCCACTCTGCTTTGTCCACGCATCCCCATATAGTCCGAACAAATTCCAGCCATCTGTCCTGTCGACTGCTGTGATCTGAACCAGGCAGTTCAAGAAAGCCACGCATTCATGCTTGTTTCTCAGCCTGCTGGGGTCCCTGGAGCTGCCCACCCAGTCCTGAATTGCTCCTTGAACTGTTTAGAGACTTCTGAAAATAAAGCTGCTGTAAAATGCAATACATTCAAATCCTGCCATTGATATCAACACAGCCAGCCACTACAGTCTGATGCACAGTGTGTCTTGAAGGAATCTGTTAGAGCCCTGTTTAATTTACAACCACATCCTCCATGCTTCACTGGTTAATTTGAAAAGTAAGAGCATGTTTCTAAACTAAAGGATAAAGCATCAGCTATTCCTGTCCCTGGAGCCAGGTTAAGCGATACTCTTTGCACCTATAGTATGTTTCCACACACACACACTACTTTGACAAAGTGAAACTGTGGGCACAGCAGAGGGATTAAGCACATAGCACAGTTGCATAAAAGCTACAAGATACCATTGGGTGTGGTAAGAAAACATCTCCAGTCTCTAATGTGGGGGTATGATGTTCAGAGTTCCGCATTTCCAAATTCTGGGAGCACAGATGCCTTCTCAGCCTAGGCTCCCAGCAGTACAACAGCATGTGAACATCAATGTTCAACGCTCCTCCTCAAGAAAGGAAGACACCATCAGACCAGCACAAGTCTAAAAGTTTGTCTTTAACATTCATCTTTTCTTACCTTCTTGTCCTTTCAACTTCCCATTTTTGCATATATCTTTATCAGAGTTTTGCTGACCTGCTTTGACCTGCCTGCTGCCGTCTAAAGGGACTTAAGTATATTCATTCAACCACTCACTAGAAACATAGGTAGTTTTAAACCCCAGATTCTGGGCAAGAGGAGATAAGAGGGGTTGCGATGGGCAATGTATGTCCCTCACAGCCCACACCGTTCAGCTGCTGTCAGCCCACAAGGTTTGCCCAAGACTCTCTCCACCCAAGGAGCTATGTTCCAAAGACAATGTGTCCTGAAGAGAACAAATGTCCTGGCCCCCCTCCTTGAAAGGACAGCTTTAAAAAGATAAATCAGATTTAAACTGTCGTTCTTGCAAAGAACTAAAACAGTAAGATGAAAGATACTGAATTAATTCTCTGTTTGAGCGTGTCAAACTCTAGTGTTGTGCATATCGGCATTTCTCCCTGAAGTGTGGCTTCCTCACTCGCATACAATGTTAGAGTACCCTCAGTATTGCCCAAACCAGTGAGAAGACCACACAACAAATCTCCAGTGATGAACCCAAGACGACCCACTACTCCTCAAAAAGCAGGCGATGCCCGTTTTAACAACCCTGTTTCCCGTGCCGCATCAGGTCAACTCCCATTTGTGTTGCAGTGAAATGCAGTGGCAATGCATAACAAGGGCTGAATGCAAAACCCCACGGGACACAAGCCAGACCTGTAGTATGGTATGACAGCCATGCAGATTAGGAAGGGAAGCCGTACAAAACAGAAGGACTTACACCAGAGTTCATAGTAGTAGTTGCAACACTGGGATTGTCCACAACAGTGGCCCGTTTCACAAATGTAACTTTGATTGTTGACACCCATGCAGGTTTCCTTGTCCTAAAATCAAACAGACACACTTTTAAGATGCTTTGTCAGTATCTTCCGTAAATGTAATCTTTTTCTCAATGATCTGCAAGCATTTGAAAAGTCACAAGTTATGGTCTTGGGAAAAGGTTAAAATACAGCCAAGGATCACCAAAAACCACAAAGGACTGTTTAGAAGAAAACCCCGTATCTCCAAATTCACAAGTTACATTGCTTTAGCATCTAGTCAGTGCTGCTTTCTCAACCTTCCTTTCCTTTTCCATTAAAAGTTACCATGTTCTGGGAGCCAGGTATTCTCCTAGACTTGTTCCACATGTTACACACTATCACTGCATTACTGGGGCTGAATGCCAAGTAGATGAAATGCATTAATAAACAGAACATTATAAATTAAGAAGAGACTGCTTGGATTCATTTAGATCTAAATGATAATTAGAGTATGTTCCTGTGAGATTCCAATCTAAAATGATTCCTTCACAATTACCCACGTGCTTTATACAAGATCAGCATTCCTGTAAAACTTCTTCCTGGAATAGTGAAGTGGTCCAGGAGCAGAGCCAAATCAGCTGTACTGTATTACCCAGCAGGTCGTCAGGACACTTAAGATGGAAAAGGACTATGGTGTGAGGTCTCAGTCCCCCACATCGTGCACTGGTTCACTAAAGCCCATGTTTTCCTGCTAGTCCAAAAACATGGGTGGGAAAAAGTACAAAACACAGGAAAACAGAAGCATTTTCAAAGTGGTCCAGGAGCAGAGCCAAATCAGCTGTACTGTATTACCCAGCAGGTCGTCAGGACACTTAAGATGGAAAAGGACTATGGTGTGAGGTCTCAGTCCCCCACATCGTGCACTGGTTCACTAAAGCCCATGTTTTCCTGCTAGTCCAAAAACATGGGTGGGAAAAAGTACAAAACACAGGAAAACAGAAGCATTTTAAAGGTTGTGGTTTGTACACCCTCTAATACACTTTGGGGCAACCTGGAAGTTAGAATATGCTAGACAGTTTCTTAAGAAGTAAACAGATCTTAACAAAAAACATTAATGTTGCAAACAAACCTCTAACAAAGTCTAAAAAATTTTCACTTTCTTTCACTTAAAATTTACAATAAGGCAGAGAAAATGTGCAGAGATTTATACTGAAAGATATGTCAAATAATTCATTTTGTAAGTACCATCTTTTAAAAAGAAAAAAACAAAAAACAAGCACCCAAAACACAAAAAACCCAAACAAAAAGCCCAACAAAACCCCACCAGCTAGGAAGAGCAGTAAACCCAACCAGCAAGGCAACGGGAATGTACATCGGTAGATCCCAACGCTGCTGCACCGCGCTGTTCCTCTATCTTATGCGAGTGTACCACAGCCACACTTCTCACAAGCCTCTATGGAGTCACCATATGTGCAGAATATGAAGTCCATTTCAAACTATGGACCGCCTCACTGAACAAGAGATGTAAGGCAGCAGTTTCAACGCAGAAGAATCCTGCACTAAGTTCTTGAGAACACTCAGTCTATTTGGGGAGCTGGGGGAGCACCAGCACTCCCCCACCATGCAGTACCCCAGTCTGAGCCGTACCTCCCCAGCACCGGGCCTGCGGGTTCCTCACCTGAGCCCCCATATTACGGCGCCAATGTAACTTCTAAAAGCAGAAGAACTTGTACCACCTACGGTTCAACGGAAGAGATCCCACACCGCATTTTTCTCTGAAGGTGTCACACCAACTTTTGAAAGGGTTTTGGTCATGTGAAGGCACAGTTCAGCAAACACGATGCAGCATACGATAGAGCGCTTCCCCTCCTTCCACAGGTATCAT